CTTTAAAAAGTAAATAATGGTTTGAATATGACCAATAATCATAAGAGATACATTACATAAAGCAGTGCATAGTAAAGGATTAAAAAGAAAAGTTCAATAAATAAGTAATTTAGCAGCTTAATAACTGGCTAACATGTTTAAAAAGGTTCACACACACTTAGCAAAGAGCACTGCAGAGACATGAAGCAAAATGCACTGTAAGTAGAATGAGCTTAAAAGCCCCCACAACAGACTTCTCTGAATATTACCAAACCCCGAATCAATGACATATTTTTGTATTTATGTCATCTGGTAGTGTCTGCAGAGCTGTCCCATCTAAGGGTAGTGACTAGTGCCGACTGAGCACATAGCTCCATGTCACAAGGCCATACATTTGCCAGACATTTCCTCTGTTACTCGCATTGAGGTGTCTCAGCAGCACCAAAACCCCAGTCACGTCTTGGCTACCACCACACACACACACACACACACACACACACACACACACACACACACACACACACACACACACACACACACACACACACACACACACACACACACACACACACACACACACACACACACACACACACACACACACACACACACACACACACACACACACACACACACACACACACACACAACACACACACAAACACACACACCAGCCCCCGCAAAGACAGCATTATTAATAAACAATAACTCGCTACTTAGTTACTCTTAAATACTGTTCCATAAGGGAAATACGAGAGGGAGAGAACGTCTGATAAAGAGCAAGTGTGAGTTGTTGAGTCAGAGGGGGGGAGTGATACAGAGGGGCTGCTTTACAGTCATTAGCTGCGGTCTGGAGTTTGGAACATCTATCTCATGGTGGAACCACACTGACATTCCGTCCTGGCTGCTACTTCAAAGTCAGAGTGCCCCTGTTTCCTAACTAAATGTGTCAGGGCAGCATTACTGTAGGGATATGCGATATTGAGAGGCAGGCCCTCTCATCCAGAACTGTGTTTTAATGGCCTATCTGACCACGGACTAATCATCTCCTTACAAGCGGCATTGTGGGAATCGTCTGTGTCACAGCGCATGTTTCTGTTCACTCTACGCACATCTGTCTCCCCTCTTTTACTCTCATCCTTCTCACTTGGTCTATAACTTTTCGTTCAGCTTTCCTCTGCATCCCTCCCCCCCCATCCCCAAACCCAACTGCCTAGGCCCATTAGTGTTGGCCAAATTGCTTCCGCATGAAGATTTGTTAATTGTGGTAATTCGGTGGCAGAGAGAACCAAGGTTTGAAAGTGCAGAGAACATGTGTCACTGCTTCAGTGGGCAGACGGAAAGGGAGCATCACCTGGGGGGGGGGGGGGGTAATCATGGAAATTAGACCACCAGCCTCTGCTACTACGAGCACTTACACCCCATCACTGTCATACTACCACCACTGGTATAAGCTGTGTGTGTGTGTGTGTGTCCACACAACTCTATTGGGAGGGTTTCTATGTCAAAATCTTGCGCCTGTGTGTGGGTGCTAAATAATCGAATGTCATATTTTTTACATTGTATTAGTTAGTGTGTTTTATTAGCAATGGAAACTGCCACAGTAAATGACAATTAGCAATTGCTATTGTAGCTGAAATGTATGTAAAGTGCTTCCTCTGTGTGAAGTGAAGTTTTTCAGCACAAAACACAAGCCCTGCTCAGTCAAGGGCCATGCAAGCTGAATTATTGTTATTGTTTATTGTTGTCAGTACAAGGTAGAAAGTACACAAATAAAATGACACTTTTACCACAATGTTACAAACAAACAAAGGGGGAAAAGGGGCATAGAGGACCAAATGCAGCGGAGGGCCATGGGTTGGATTCAAACATGGGCTGTTGCAGCAAAGTCTTAGTTTGAGGGCACTAACTAACTACTACTGGCTCACCTTGTCTGTCTTCCTGTCCCACTCTCTGCGCATGTCTCTCTCTTTTTGCTGTGTGTTAGTACTGGGCAAGGTGCCAGAAGACCTCCTGCTCCTACTTACTGCTTCTACTTCAGCCCTTCCTGACTAAGGAGAGACACTTATTGTTTCTGCATCAGCACTTAATGGCTCAGTTGGCTGCTTTTGGTCTACCCAACTTGTCTATGTCTACCTCATTTTCTGTCAGCCCCCTGGCTGCCGTGGGCCCATTGCCAGACTTAGAGCTTTTAGTACTTTAGATTTTCTTTCCTTCTCTGTCTGACTACTTGCCCATTAGAGTTTGGTGATATTGTACCTGCTCTTGTCAGCTGATCACCATCACACATAAACACCTAATGCAATAATACTTGGCAGGGCCAGGCGAAATCTTCACTCATGACTTTAATGTAATTGCATTGAATGGAGATTAGTAAGTAGAACATACATATATTTCACACCAAGAGAAAGACTTCTGCCTTACCCTTCTCTGTCAAACCACAATTCAGTGTTCCTGTGTGAATGTCCTGGGTTATTGGGTTAAAGAAACCCCTTTCCATAGCATTAGAATCAACATTGCATACTATTTCTAAGGTATTATCACACATGTTTTTTAAATGTAGGCTAAAACAAACACTTTACTTCTTGTTTTAAAATGTAACTTGGCCTGGTCTAGGGTTATGAGCAGACAATGTTCCCATACCATTCCTCAAAGCAGCAAGAGCAGGACATGTTGGAATGTGTAAAACATGGCACGTCTGCAGATGTCTTGCACACTTACACACACACACAGACACTGGGACATGTGCACGCTAACTACTGAGGTATGTAGAGAGCAAAAAAGCAGCCTTCACATCCCATATTGCCCTCTACATCTGTGCTTTCTCTTTTTTATCTATTCTTTCATTATGTTTCTCTCTATCCCTCAGTACTTCTTAACTGACTTTCCATCCCTTCTTCCATTCCTATTTTTTTCTCTCTCCTCCACCTTCAGGATGGTAAATCCAGCTGCCCACTGTTGCCCTCACAGTGTTTGATGGAGTGCTGTAGTCTCTGGCCCCTAGCTGTGTGTTAATGCACTACTTGCACCTGCCCTTGCTGGAGTAATAGCACCACACACGTTCACAAACTCACTCATTCACTCACACAATGTCTGGCTTTAATACACACACTAATGTGTCTTACATCCATAAACCAAAGTGGATACCACTGTTAAATCGACAAACTACCAACCATTGTGTTTTTCTTCTTCCTGTGTACCCTACTTTTTATAGTCTAACAGCTGGACAAAACATTGTCCAGACCCCGCCCACCCACGCAAAACCTCCATGCAGCAGGTGCACTGTGCCCTTTAGGACATCTACTTAAGCAATGTTGGATAGTGATTCCCCTAGTTTCACTTATCAAAGAGTTAATAGAGAAGAGGGAATGGCCCCTGTTGTGCTCCAGATTAGCTTGCACTTCGAACATCTCCATCTTTTCCAGAAAGAGCGGAGACTCATGGGAACAGTAAGTCTGAATGGAGGCCTACTCATCCCTGCTGCAATCATACTGTATTTAGTACTCTAATGCAAAAAGCCAAATGGTCAAGAGGTTAGCCAAGAGGCTATTTTTCATCTTTTCAAATTTGTGTTGTTTGAATGTGAATCCTGTGTGTATCGACACTGTCTGCTGTTTAACATTGAACATCCTTTGAACTTTTAGAGGTGGAAATTAACAACTACAAATACAAATAATATAGCTAATTTCTAAAACAATCTACCCAAATAATCTTTGTTCATGCCCAGTACATATCTGTTTACATCTGTGCCTTATTGTTACAAAACCTTCACTAAGTTATAGACTCAGTGCCATGGACACTTGTAGGGAATGAAGTGCTATCACTGTAAGAGGGAATCATTCTGAGAAGTGAAGCCTTATTGGAACAGGTGATGTAAGAATTGAATGTGACTCCCTGGGACAGTTCCAGCTCCCTGGAAGAATGTAGCATGTGATGGATGGATCCTCCTCTCCTCTCTCAACAGCCTGTTTGGCACACAACTCCCTAAACTGCTCAGTATCTTAAAGTAAGCCAGCTATTCCTCCCTCCTTCTCTTGTTGTGTTTGAAATAGCCTCTCACCATAGGAATAACATTGACATGTCATAATGGCGAGTGTGTAATCCCCCCACTCCGTTTCATTTTGGAAAAATGGCAGACGGAAGATTCTTCCATGTGCTACCATTAAAAAGAAGAAAAAAAGAAAGAAAATCAATGGTATAGTGAAAAGCATTTGAGTCTCCTGTGATGTAATGCTGGTGTTAGGTGTGTTGTAGTTGACACTAAGCTGGATACTGGCGTTACTGTGTTGGACGTTATTTTGGAAAGATATTCCCTTTATATTGGCCTAATACTCATGCTCCTAATAGTCTGCTATTTAACTAAACATGTCATTCAACTTTGTAGATTTGCTGGCATCTTGTGAAACATTTAAACTAAGAAGTTGATAATGATATGGTTTACATCTCTTTTATTTTCTTCCTGGGCACCAAATGGTTGTTATGAGCTTTACATGTTATCACAGGAAGCTTGCTAAATCCAGAAGGATAAAAATACAGATCAAATGTGCCTCACAGATGAATACATATATAGAAATACTTTTCAATAAATAGTATAATATACTGTATATATATAATATATAAATACGACTGACATAGATACAAAAAAAACTCGTAAAACTAGTCAAATGTGTTGTTGAGATGGTGGCTTTATGGCAAAGTTCACTGTTTAACAACATTTTAAGGCTCACTATAATATATAGATGCACTTTTATTTGACTTATTTGTATGGAGTCACACCAACAGGTTGGAAACAGAGGGCATCACTAGCCAGAGTTTAGATATATGCCACAAACTCTGTGTTGTGTTGGTGATATCTGTGTTCAAGAGCACCTGGTTTCTCAGAACCTTTGGAAACACTGAGAGGGAAAGAAAGGGGTCAAGACCAATTAAAGGCCAATCAAGTGTTTAACGAAGCCACAGCAGCAGTGTTTAAACCTGCCGGACTGCACTTCATTTTCACTTTTCTCTTTTTTTTTTATTAGGTGTGAAGTCTCCGGGCCCGTCACCGACTCTCGAGGGCTCGGTCCAAAACCTGGAGCTGAAGTTCTGCAGCCGTGCGACGGTGAAATGCGCCTCGGGAACCGTGGGAGCTGTAAAAGTGTGCGCCAGGACCCCAGGTGTGTGCAGCTGTGCCCTGTTAAAACTTTACTGCCTGTGTAGGAGGGAGAGCGACTAGACTATTCTTTGACTTTCTTTAGCTTATACTTTGATACACTTCACTCTGTCTCTCTCCCTCTCTTTCTCCCGCTCAATCTTTATCTTGATTTCTTTCCAGCTTTGTGATTCAGTTGCTGTTTTCTCCTGAGGCGCTGTCATTGGTCTCTGGCCATGTCTTTAACAGCAAGGATGTTATTGGAGCTAGTGTCATAGCACAGAGTTCACAAGGTCAAACTGAACACATGATGTCAGGCAGATTATAAGATCTATTGCAGCTGTCAATATAGAAAGAAGACGGGAAAAAGCATGTGCAGTTAATTGTCTTGTTTCAAAATTAACATCTGCAGGTGATGTATGAAAATATTGTACACATAGTGTTTTTTCAACATACGCATAATATATTAATTTGCCTTGAATGCTTCACTCTTAGGTTCGGGAGAGGGGGTTAAGGAAAAGCTGGTTCCTCTGGTTCAGGGCCCGTCTGACACCAAAGAACTCCATATGAGCCGCTGGCTGAATGAGATCCGCAAGCCTGAATCTTTGTTGGCTCCTGACCTTCTGGTGTTTTCTGTCCAAGTCCCACAGCAAGGAGGCGATTGCAGGAACTCAGGTAGAAGCTTTGTAATGTTGCAACTCTCTCTTTCGAATGCATCTATCATTGTACATGCTCTGTAGTACATTTTCTTACTCAGCATGTGTGTTTTGGAAATCAGAAATCACCATTGCACACTGATATTTTTGTTTTTAAACTCATTTTCTGGTCGTGGTTTTGGTGTTTGGACTGGTCCCAGGCTCTAGTAGTCCATATTCCATCTCAATTATTGGTCATCTAATGCAAGAGTCTCAGTTTGTTTAGGTCGTCAGATTTTCCTTCCTCCTATAATGTCACGCAATGCCCCCTTTCAGTTATTTGTTTGGTAAAGCCGATAAGTGTTTTCCACGCCAGTATCCTTGAGGCAGGGTTGGCATGTCTCTTTACAGGCAGCAGGAGTTTTCTAAATATCAGTTAGTCTCTTTCAGCACGGGGCAGACTAACAACAGCTAACACTCCAGGCTTGCTGCTGCAGGCCGCACTGATGTCAGGTTGCAGTTCTTGAATGCACCCTAAAACCACAGATTATATTTCTGGTGTCGGTTTGAGAGTGTGTTGGTGCATGCATGTGTGTTTAGAGGAAGGGTGTGGGATTATTTATTAGCTCTTCCAAAAGACTCAAAATACAATTCAGATTCCAAAGCTCAAAGTGCTGTTGTGCGTCATTAAGTGAGTTTGTTATTAAATGCCTACAACTCAATGCATCTCATTCATACAGCTTGGTCTCCAGTGTTCTCTCAAACCTTTCCTACCCATCTACCCCAAAAGCTGCAAGGGGTGGTTTTACCCTTTACAGATTTACAGACATACAACACAATTAAGAGACCACTCCAAATTGTTCTTAAATCTCAATCTCTCCATGTATGGCAGCCATTCTATTCCAGTGTCTGTTGAATTCCAACACAGAGAAATGTCAACTGCACTCCTTCTCATCACTGCACTCCTTCTCATCACTGCACTCCTTCTCATCACTGCCTCAATACTCTCCTTTTTTTTCTTTTTCTGGCTTTAATGTTCCGTATTTCTCGCTTGCTTTTTTCTTATTATCTCTATCTCTCTTTTTGGTTCATTTTAATCTCAAATCTAGAAAAAAATCTGTTTTCCATTGGCCATTTTAGCATCATGCTTTCATCTGTATTCCTTTTGTTCCCTAAAAGTCTAATGAGACATTCATTTGTATTGGTTATACAAAGGAATGAATAAAAGCAAGTTGAATATGAACTTTATTGTATTTTTAACTCTATTTTAACACACACTTTCTGCCAGAACTATATCTTTTATCTGAGATGTCCCTACAGTCAGCAGTAACAGCAGTAACAGTTCAATAATAACAATTCCAGCCGAGCATTTCTCTGTGCATGTGTATGTTGTGTCAAACATGCTGTTGAAGAACAGTTTTCCAAACGCAGTGTGTGTTCAGAGGCATTTGTGGGTGCCTACTTATATGTCTGTGTTTTGTATGGTGGTGGGGATTACATCAAAGCCTTTGGTCAGTTCACATGTGCCGTGTCCCCGCTGTCGTCCAGAGGGTGACTGGGAGCCTGTTAGAGCGGTGTTAATGGACTGATGGTTCCAACGCCTCATTTAGTCAGACATGGAAAGGTGGAGTTAGCACCACTCTAAATGGGCTGTACCCTTTGCTCCCATAGGACCGACTCAGAGGCTAAACATTTTGTGATCATGACATTGTTGGAGCTCTTGGCCTTGGCATCAAACACATTTTATTCATCCCATGTGGCTCTGTTGATTCCATTTAGCAAATTCTTAAAGCGTGACCATTACACATCGAGCGTAGGAGGGGGCTAAGGAAGTAAGAGAACGGCTAACTATTTACACCATAGACATGCTGAAAAGATTAAGATGTAATGAGCCACAATCAACTTTTGTATTTTCTTTTTCTTTTGATTAGTTGCTTCTGGTTTTTGTATAGATGCAACCAAAAGCACAATAGTAATGTGGGATCTGTTCCCCCAATTCTCAAAGCAAAACATTTGTTTAAGAAAGGGGGAGCTAGCTGATAATTGTCATCAAGCAACCAACATAGTCACTGAAGTGTTTGAATATTCTGTAAATACTCACATGCCATGGTGCTTTCACAGACATATGCATTTGTTTCATGTTTTGGTGAATGTGATGGACTGCAGTTGAATATTAGTCTAGAGAAGCGTTGTCTTCAGTGTTTCTCCACTGGTCATGTATGTGTGATCTCAGTGTTGGAAAATGCCATCCTTTTCCTTATGTATCCTTTGATTCATCCAAGAAGCCATGTCATCCATGTCTTGCATTTCCCCATTTTGAAGAACCAGAAATGCCCAAATCTCTGAGGCCACCTCTGATATACTATTTGGTCACCGTCTCAACTCAAGTCTAGTTCTGTCTTATACTGTTTTGACCTCTGTCTTTAACACACTTGACTGCCTGAAATATTTGAAACAAACTCAAAAGCAAATTTCCCCTGAACTAAAGTAAACATAGTTCAAATAATTTAATTTGTGGTCGGGCACTCTAATGGCAGCTTTTACACATGTTTTAATCTTCTTTCTATCTCTCTCACAGCAAAGTTAATTCAACAATAAGTTACTTTTAAATATGGCCAGCGACATCTGTTTTCTGTCTAATTATTTACCACAAAAGCTAAATTCCAGTTTACTGAAGGTTGGATGGCAAAGGATGGCGGTTGGAAGGAGTCCCTATACACTTGTAGAACTCCAGACCCAGACGGATGTGTTTCTATTAACCAGAGTTGAGGTTGGAACATTATAAACAATTAAACAATTACAGTCATGGGTTTTAACGCAGAAGATCTAAGCAAATCTGCTTTGAAATAGTCTTTTATAGATCCAAAGGCCTATAGTCATTTCATATCTTGCCGTTAACCCTTTAAGCATTAACAACTTGACAGTCCCAGACGCTCTTCCCCTCTTTAGTTCCAGATATACCCACCAACAATACTATTTTTTGGCATTGGAAGTGTACTACGATAGCCAAGAATTATCCCATTTTTTTCTTTTTCATTTTCTCTCCTTTTACAACAACCAAACATGGTTCATGCTGGTGCTCTGCTATGACACAAAGAATAATGAGAAATCAATGCCATTATTAAGTATCCTGAAAGTATACTATAGTGAGGGATGGGGATGAAAGCCAGGCAGCAGTGGGAGGAGTCTGGCTGGAGGAGGTCAGGGGTGAGGGAGTTTGAGTCACGGTGGCAGGCCGCAGGTTGGCAGGCTGCCTGAGAAGGGCACAGCTCAGTGTTCCACATGCAGGGCCAGCTGAGAGCCAGGCACAGGTCATCCTTCACTAGCACACACTGATGCTGTATTCATTAAGGCTAGTAGATCTATTCATGATTTGTACATTTTATCAGAGTAGAGAGGAGATGTATGGACCTCCAATGCTACACTGCTACTACTATAAAGACAGCCTGATCAGTTAGATCCCCGTCAGTGGCTGGCTGTTCTGGGGCCTGTCTCTGCTGATGGATGGGAAAGACTAAGCAGTGTGAGGGAGGCGAGGGCTGGAGGGCGTGTGAGGAGCTGGGGTTTATGCTGAACCTCAGGGCGAGCGGCAGCCTGCAGGTGTTCCCCCCCCACTATCCACCACCCTGACGTGCACCAGAGGGGGAGGGCTAGGGTCGGGTGGGCTTTATGATCACAGAGAAGACAAAATGTGAGAGAGAGTGAGGGATAGCATGTGTTTTCCCCAGGCACGCCAGCAGCTGCGAGACAATGATTTATGCTTTTCTCAGAACTCTGGGATCTCAAAATGTTACATTTAATCAAGCATACTGAGAGCAGAGCAAATGTTAAAGATGTTCCTTATAAAGCCCTCCAGTTTTGATCTCTTTACCATTCCGTGGGAGCTGTGGGAATAGGGAAACAAAGTTATCTTTTATCTTAATTTAAACATATCGGAAGGAATTATAAAAGCTACATGGAATGAACCCTTGGAGAATTGCCCCCCTGTACACTTATACTAACAATATGTAGTTCCCTTATAGATAAAACAACGTTTTCTTGAACACTGAACTACCTTTTAGTACTCTAACAACATCTTTCTACAGTTGTAAAGGAAACGGATTATTTCTATTGATAATAGGAATCACACATTCATTAGTACAGATTGTTTTTAAATAGTATTAACATTTGCTGAGTTGCTATGTATATCTATTTGCATCTTTACTGATAAGGTGTGTTTGAACGTGTGCATGCATGTGTGTTTGATGCATGTGTGTTCGTGTGTGTTTGTGTGTGTGTACAGTATTTGTGTCCACAGCAGTCAGAAGCAGCTGGGATCCTACACAATCTGGCCTGTACTAAAGACTAATGACAGCAGGTGGGTATAAAGCGCCACCTGACTTTGATCTGAGCATTTCAAACAAACACACATGCATGCACTACACTCACTGAGTAGCACTCACGTGCACAGGCATGCATACACTTAGAAACATTTGCCACACATGATCTCTTTGCCTCCCCTCTGAAACCGTGGCCATTGAATGGGTTGAACTGACACCGTAGCTGGGGTGTGAATTTTGGGATCTCCCTTGGTAGCCTCCTCCATTTCAATCTTTCAAAGGCCTGCCGTACTTTCATATGTCCATCTATCATGCTCTTTCCCCTCCTTTGCATGTGTTCACTCACTCCATTGAGTGTTAAATCAACAGTCTGGCTTTGTCTCAGGCAGCAGCGTGATGGCTTTAAGCTGTTGGTCTGAATTTCCTCAGGCTGATAGACCTACACTAGACAAAATGGTTCTAATAATAGATTCATTTTACATCCCTGTGAGAATGCACAAAAGAAAATTTCTTTAGCTAGCTTTCTTAGTAACGTGGCCTTCTGTGTAGCTGTCGGGAACCGAAATTACTTAAAAAAATTAAGAATCTATATATATACAGTATGTGGTACAAAGGCTCCAGGTTCTGCAGCATGCACAATACAATGGTCCCACACTCAATTTAGATTTCATTCAGGTAATGAAATTGGACCATAAGAGCTGTTTATTTGTTTAACAACTTT